CTTAAAAATGTCGATTTTTACAGGGTTACCGTCGCAAGTGCGCCCGTCGAAGCTGAGTTTATATCCCTTTGGACACTGGCACGAATACGAGCCAGGAGTGTTGAAACACGCCCCTGTACACAAGTTTGTCCCTTGGCTGCTCCACAAGCTGCACTCGTCTATGTCCTCACACGACACACCGTCAGAACCGATCGCGTAGCCACGGTCGCATATACACTGGTACGAACCGGGCACGTTCACGCAGCGTTGCTGGCACGAGGCCATGCCGGTGGCGCACTCGTCAATGTCTAAATCATTACCTTCACCGTCATCTTCAATGACAATGTCATCAGGTCATTTATTTCGCAAAATCTGATTTATTTACGAAATCTGATTTTAAACCATTGCCTCTTATTTAATTCAGAAGTTTCTCTGAAAGAGACCATTTACCTTTTGCCAATAAGTACTAAGTACTACGAGTACTTTCAAAAAACTTAATATTAAATTATTCCATTTCTTCATTCTTTCATACAGTTTTGGTATAGTTTCTAACACACAGAGATGCAAATCTTCCAGTGTATCGGCTGCATGAACCACCTTTTAGCATCACATTTTAACGTTGTTAAGCACAGACAGTCTATCAGTATACTCCGTTTCGATAACTGGCCATATTATGCATTGCATGCCTAGGAAATATGAGGTTTGTCACTCGTCTTCTTCATTTTTTCGATGACCTTGGCCTTCGCAGTAACTGACTTCAGTACACATTCTTTGAGTGATATTTTTGTCCATCATTCTCACCGCCCAGAAGTAAAGGTCATCAAGAATTAAACCAGTCCCAATAAAAAAATGGATCCGGAAAATATTGAAATTTACGTCTTTTACAACAGTAACAAATGAATTAATCATTCAGTCATCAATCATGAACAGTGGCGACGAGTTCAGCAAACAATGAAGTGGCTAAAGTTAACACTGAACAAGTCGCATATATGGTTACGCCCTTGTTTAAAGAAGCGGTTTTAAAATTTTACTGAGGTTCACAAAATAACTGCAAGGAATGGAATATATTCAATTAATAAACTCATTGAAAAACACTGTAAACGTTGTCTGATTCATTGATAACAGATATGATAAATAAGTTACTGGATTTCTAAGCGGTGAAATGTGAAACGCTTCATTCAATGAGGTTGTTGCTAACTGGATCATACACATAATTTTTATTACCAACATTTACATTTATCAAATATCGACAGGTAGCGAGCACGGTAAGCAGCAGACATAGTACTAAACAGGTATCAGAGCATCTACTACAAGACGAGAGGCACAACAGTGGTTTTGGCAATTATTTGCCACTGAACATGAGCCTATATTGCCTAGCTACAGAGCCTACTGCTGACAATAACATCGACTAAGCTATGTCCAAAGGAAAGATTAATGACTCTTCCTCCTTGTTCGACCAAATGTTGTGTCATATTGAAAGCCGGGCTTGTGCCATCATCCCTTATTTTCGTCATAGTAACCCTAATTTTATGGAACAGACGGTGGCCACTGACGCATAAAAGTGTGTTGCAATCGTCGTCGTCGTCGTATCTTACCAAGACAGTTCCTGCCATCCGGTGCCAGCTCGTAACCAAGATCACATATGCAAGTGAACGAGCCAAGGGTATTTTGACACGACGCGTGGAACGAGCAAACGCGCCCACCAAATTGTCTGCATTCGTTAACGTCTAAATTGTAAAAGAGTCCATCGATCATCTGTTTGTGAACAGGCGACAAGCAAAGTACCTTCACAACGCTTCGTCGTCCGGTTGAAGGCATAGCCGCGCTGACACTGGCACTGATAGGAACCCTCGAGGTTAACGCACTCCTGACTACTATCACAACTGTGGATGCCTCGCTCACACTCGTTTATATCTACAAATGTTTATATTTATTTGTACATGAAAATATTCGCCCTTTCTTGATAAGTAATTAACGGCCATGGTCAAAACAAAATATACACAGCTATAACTATCACTGTACCTTCAGCGGAGAACGAGCAAAAAAATCATACATATCGCATTCAAAATTGATGCGTGCATGAAAATCTGTTCTCCTTAGCCACTACTACAGCTGTAAAAGCTGCAGCTCTAACAAACTCCAAGCCGGTAGGTAATTAGCAAGTTAAGGCTCCATCATGAGAGTCAGATATTTGTTCAGCAGAACGAAACTCTGAATGTGAGAAGCAAATAGAGCATGACAAAACGTGCATCTCGTTTTTACTTTCGGAAAGATCAACAGATTTAAATTGACTTCATCTATTATAAAAGTGAATCGAAATGATCCTATATTGGCATTCGACAGCCTTTCTAAAGATCGATGGGAAAAGGCCTCATTCAATCATTTTTAAGACTCGCTCTTCCTTTCTAGTTTCAGAGACAGTCATTTTATTAAGCCTTTTCAATGGTCCCAGTTTATAGGGACACCAACAAGTCAAAAGCATGGATTCTGAGGCATGACAACGTCAAATCCTTATATATTCTTCTCATTTAGTCCGCGATCGACCCATGGACTACTCGTAGCTTTCGCAAGAGTACACCTGTCGAGTATTTTCTGTGGCATCCACATCACGTGTCAAAACCATCGAATTTTTAATATGTTAATCTGGAAGAATGGCGGCTTAAGGGCGAAGAGA